TTCCACTTTAAAATAATTTTTGGGAGAGAGTTTTGGTATGTATCCCAGGCTATCCTTAAACTCTTTATGTAGCTTAGAATAATCTCAATTTTGTAATCCCCTTCTCTGTGACCCTAGTGCTGGAATTACAGGCCTAAAACATCACACTTAACTTACTCCTTTGCTTTATTTATTTTTTATTTTTATTTTTTTAATTTAAATTAGATACCAGCTTGCTTCACGTGTCAATCCCAGCTCCCTCTTCCTCTCATCCTCCCCCCACCCCTCTCCCAATCCCCACTCTGATCTCCAGGGAGGGTGATGCCCTCCTTGTGGGATCTCCAGAGTCTATCATTTCATACAGGGCAGGGCCTAGGCCCTCCCCGCAAGAGTCCAGGCTGAGAGAGCATCCCTCATTGTGGGACGGGCACCCAAAGTCCATTTGTATGCCGGGGATAAATACTATCCAAGGCTCCATAGATTACCTAGACCCCTGCACTGACATCCACATTTAGGGGGTCTGGATCAGTCCTGTGCTGTCCATACAGCCATCAGTCTGGGGTCCAAGAGCTCCCCCTTGTTCAGGTCAGCTTTTTCTGTGGGTTAAACCAGCCCAGTCTTGACCCCTTTGCTCATCAGTCCTCCCTTTCTGTCACTGGATTCCAGGAGTTCAGGTCAGTGTTTACCTGTGGGTGTCTGCCTCTGCTTCCATCAGTCACTGGATGGAGGTTCTGTTTCCCAGACTCTTTGGCAGTGGGATTGTATGCTGGCACTCCCCTGATCCATATCTAAAATCCATATATGAGTGAGTACATACCATGTTTCTCTTATAGCCCTGGATATCCTGAAACTCACTGTGTGAGAGGTTGGCCTCAAACTCAGAGATTCTCCTGCATCTGCCTCCCAAATTCTGGGTTTTAAAAGTATGTGCCACCACACCCAGAACACCTCTTTGCTTTCTAATGTGTAGTCTTTGTCCTGTTCATTATTGAATTGCTTCTTACGTTATCCTTTATGGGTGACTGAAAATTTTTTTTTATTTTTTTTCCGTAAATACACATGGTCAGAATTATCAGTGTACTTCCTATTCTGTTTGTGTTTGTTTTAATCTTTCTGTCTATATTTTTTGATATTTAAGATTTTTATTGTCTTAATAATTACAACATAGTAGATTTAATTCTCTATATTTGTGTAGTATCTGATAATGTTATCAAAGAATTGATAGAAAGTTCTCACTCAGAGCCGGGCATTGGTGGCGCACGCCTTTGATCCCAGCACTGGGGAGGCAGAGGCAGGCGGAGCTCTGTGAGTTCGAGATCAGCCTGGACTACCAAGCGAGTTCCAAAGCCACAGAGAAACCCTGTCTCGAAAAACCAAAAAAAAAAAAAAAAAAGAAAGTTCTCACTCAGAAAAAAACAATGGAATCCTGAGATTTGCAGGCAAATGGATGACACTAGAAGAAACCATCCTGAGCGAGGTAACCCAGTCACAAAAAGAGAAACATGGCATGTACTCTCTCATATATGGATTTTAGACATAGATCTGGGGAGTGCCAGCCTACATTCCCATGGCCAGAGAGTCTGGGAAACAGAACTTTCATTCAGTGGTTGATGGAAGCAGAGGCAAACTCCCACAGCTAAGCACTGAGCTAAACTCAAGAAAGCCAGTAACAGAGAGGGAGGACTGATGACCAAAGGGATTAAGACTGGGCTGGTTTAACCCCCAGAAACAGCTGACCTGACAAGGTTTAGCTCTTGAATCCCAGACTGATGCCTGAGAATCCAGCATGGGACTGATCAAGACCCCCTGAATGTGGGTGTCAGTGAAGAGGCCTAGGTAATCTATTGAGCCTTGGGCAGTAGATCAGTACTCATCCCGAGTATATACATGGACTTTGGACTCCCATCCAACAATGTGAGGTGCACTCTCACCCTGAACTCTTGGGGGGAGGGTCTAGGTCCTGCACTGGAGGAAATGACAGATTATGGACACCCCCATGGAGTGCCTCACCCTCCCTGGGGAAATGAGGGGATAATGGGGGGGGCTTGGGAGGAGAACACAGGAGGAGGGGACCTGGAACTGACTTGTGAAGCAACCTTGTTTCTAATCTAAATTTATAGTTAAAAATAAAAGGAAAAAAAAAGAAAGTTCTCACTCCATTTCTGATTTTAGTTTTTGTTTCTTAACTATTATTAATCAATAAAATTCATCTTTCAGAATATTTATATTTTAAAATATACGCCTGTGTTATTCACTAATTAGCTTTTTAAGATGACTTTTTGATTCCCATTATTATGTATGAGCAATCTGCAGACTTGGCCTTCCCTTCCCATTCTGCCTTTGTGTGTTGCATTCTCTCTACATAATCTAAGCAAATAACATTGTCATTTGTCAGCGCCTGAGTCAGACTTTTGCTGCTATAGCAGAATACTGCAGGCTGGTAATCTGTGAATACAGAGGTCATTTCTTTACCACTTTGAAGGGTGAGTGTCACAAGACAAGACAATGCTGCAGAGATCTTCTTTCACTCCCACAGCAGCGTTAATAACGAGGGCTCTCATGCATTGAATAAACACTGCTGGTCCCACCTCTTAATATTGCTGCCGTGGCAGTTGTATTTCAGTGTGACTTAGGAGAGGGTAATCAAGCCATTAGTGTTAGTCCGATCTTCACATGTTTCAAGCTCTTATTTCTGTAATAAAATATGTCACATCTCTCAATTGGCCCTTTTGGCATTTCTGCGAATGGGTTTGGTAAATCAAAGCACAGTCTTAGCAAGTTCTTTTCATTTATGAACAATATTCACTAAGATCATGAATTTTCAAAATCGTTTGCAATTCTCAATCTTAATTTGACTGGCTAGTTGGAAAATTCTTGCATCCCAATTTCTTTTAACTTTTTTTATTACTTTAATTTTAAATAGCTTGCTTCACATGTCAATCCCAGTTCCCTCTCCCTCACCTTCTCCTGCATCTCCCAACATCCCCTCCAGCCTCCCACCCTATCCCCACTTCCTTCCACATAAGGGATATCCAGAGTCTGTCACTTAGCTCAGGGGAAGGTCCAGGCGCTCCCCTAAGAATCCAGGCTGAGAGAGCATCCCTCTTTGTGTTATGGACACACGAAGTCCGTTTGTATGCCAGGGATAAACAATGATCTACTGCCCAGGGACCCATAGGTTCCCCAGTCCTCCTTATACTCAGGGGGTCTGGATCAGTCCCATGCTGGCCTCCCAGCTGTCAGTCTGGAGTCCAAGAGCTCCCCCTTGTTCAGATCAGCTGTCTTTGCTGGTTTCCTAGCCCATTCTTTGCCAATTTGCTCATCGCTCCTCTCTCTCTCTCTGTCACTGGGTTCCTTGGGTTCAGTTCAGTATTTAACTGTGGGTATTTGCCTCTGCTTCCATCAGTCACTGGATGAAGGTTCTAGGATGGCATATAGGGTAGACGTCAAGTTCATTATCAGGAATGGGCATTTAAGGAAGTCTCTCCACTATTGCTTAGCCTGCCAGTTGGTGTCATCCCTTTAGATCACTAGAGGTCTCACTGGTGCCAGATATCTCTCCTAACCAATGAGTCCCTCTATTATGGTATTTCTCATCCTGTTCTCCCCCTATCCTACCCCCCAGCCAACCTTCCTGTTCCCATGACCTGCTCTCTCTTCCTCTTCTCCCCTTCTCTTCTTCCCAGCTCCCACCCCCTCCCCACCTCTCGCTGTGTTCCCAATCTGTTCAGGAGATTTCTCTATTTGGGGTGTACTTGGGGGTGTTGAATATAAAAATCTGAATTTTTGCCTGCTTGTTTATTGTATTTTTTTCAAATCTAGAATCATTACTGAAATGTCTGTCAGTTTTGACCATTACAGGTCAAGTTGGGTGAATTCATGCCCCTTCCCCCTGGCTTTTATTATTTTAAGCTCCAATTAAAAAATATTATAATGTTTGTTCATAATGTTCAGTTTTCCACAACAAATTTTTGTTGCTTTTTGATACATCATTAAATTAGTTAAAACACAATTTACTCTCATTTTTGTCTAATTTTTTCTTATTTCTACCACTTTTGAAATATTTCCCTTAAAACTTTTTGTGTGGTAAAATGTACTGCATTTGGTTCAGAGTTGCACTGATTTGGATACATATACAGAGTCATCATGACTAGACTAGTCACCACTGGAGTCCTAACAGGTTCATCATCTCCCCAAATTACCCTAGACTTGTCCTTTGTGGGGCTGTTTATTCATGCTTCACCCAATCCTTATTTATTACTCATCATCACTGGACAGATTTTTGTAGACTGGTTGTTTGCTGGGGGTTAGGGTGGAGGTGGTGCCTAGCCTTCCACTCCCTTACAGTTCCCCAGTGCCTCCTATTGGGGCCCCTCCTCTGTGTCACTCCTCCCTGTCATACCTTGAGATGACACAGCTCCTTACCTTCCTTCTTACTCTCTAGCCCATTCATGTTTTCCTACAGAAGCTTCCCGCTCTACTCACTTTGATTTTCCTAAACACAGGCCCCACGCTGATTTGCTTTATCTTGTCAATTGAAATGTCCCTTTCCTTTTCTAAATTGATATACCCATGCTTGGAAACAATGGCAGCTGCTCTGCTCCATTAGGAACTGGTTCTTGACATCCCCTCTTGGCACAGTTTCTCACCTGTTCTTCTGCAATACATTGTCCATTTTCAAAACACTTATCTTGTTGCTTTCTGTACTTATTAATATGCCAGTGTACAAACCTAATACTAATGTGTTACCAACCCCCACACAATTTAAAAGGATGCCCATCCAAGGATAGGCAGCTCTTACCCTCATTTTAGCCTCATTTGGTTTTCCACGCATGAAGTTGAAAGGTAGATTTTTTTATTTTGGTTCACCTATAATTTCTTTTTTTTATTTTCAAAGTGATTTAATCATGTCAAAGCAACTTTCCCATTTATGGGTAGCAACAAAACCCACCTCATGTTTAGAACTTTTATACCATTTGGAAAGCACAGTCTCCACTAATGGAGACTCTTCTGCATTGCAGGTGATGCAACAGTGACAATAGCGCACAGATACACGCCCAGAGAACAACTGAAGGTCCACACTCAGCTGGCAGATATTATCATAGTGGCTGCAGGTAAGTCTGCAGTGACTGTTATTTAGTGCAATTCATGGTAGAGTCATTCCTGCCTTAACTTCTGATGCACTGAAAGAACATATGGGACACACACAGGTAAATGTATGACTAACTTCTGTGGACTGAACTTTGTCTCCGTGTAGTCATCATACTGGTCTATGTTAGCATCTGTCACACACCGTATGGGAAACACAGACGACCTTTGCAATGATGGAGGAAGCACAAGAACAAATGTGCACTTTTCCAGTTGCTTGGGCAAGCATAATGGAGCAACATTTATAGAAACAGATCAGTGCTGGTCAGTAATGTCTTGTGGTTTAGGGATAAAAGAAACTGAATTTAACCTTGAAAATTGTGTTGGTGTAAACAGAATGTCTAAGTGAGAAAGAGACAGACCACCGTCCTGCAACCCTGGCCACACCCATGCTAGAGGCATAGGCTTTGGAGTCTTGACTTTAAAGGAAAAGGTAATGGACTAGACCATGTCCCAGTGTGGGCATCTGGTTTGAAAATGAGAGCATTTGCACAAAAGTTGGTCTGTGAAATTCTGTGCAACAAACTAAGGGTGTCTGGTTTTGTAAGAAAGAAGATATATAAAGAAGATAAAAATATACTTTGTGAATAAAAAGGGAAAAGAAGAGTTAAACCCAATTTTACTATAAACAGAGCTCCTAAAAGCCACCCGTTCTTGAGCTGGTCAGCTCCCTGTCACTGTAGTTATTAGGAAGAAATATTTTAGATGAGTGTTCCAGAGAAATATTTGATGATTTTTAGAATAACTCTTGTGATATTTTGAGTGGCATAAGTATTTCATACTCCATTTTACTTAACTTTGTTAAAATAGTTTAACAAACCAAGTATCACACTGTAAAAGCACAAGTAAGCAGAAGTATTTTAAACATATTCTCCATAGAATGTATTACATTCCTTCTGTACATCACACCTTTTAAGACCATTGTAGAGAATGTCCAGGCACTGAGTACATTGTTATGAGTTGTTCTCCCTGAGCATCAGTATCCCTTTAGTTGAGATTAGATTATTTTATATTTTAATAAAAAAGAAAAGCATGAGGAATATAGTCAATATGTATATGTTTACTATAATATGTTTACATTTATTAATTTTAATCAATAGGGTAAATAAGGTAACCTGAATGGTATTTTATATCCTAGAAAAGGCTAGAGTAGAGAGTTCATATGTGTGATTAATTTACTTAGAAACATTGAGAGTCCACTGACTGCATGTCTCTGATTTTATCAGACATGAATACTTTCAGATAGTGAGGGGGAGGGTTGGTTTGGTCACCTAATAATTAATGCACTCGTGTTGTGCAATAAGAGATGTTTCAAATTATAAGGATATAATATTTAATAAAATGATGAAGCCTGCCCATTGTAGAGCTTACTTATATTTTGGGGGGGGGACATCAAAAAGTCCAAACAATCTAAAACAATGTCAGATAAAGATAAGAGTTACAGAAAGAATATGAATGGGATACCACTTTAGATATTGATCACTGAAGATAATTTTCAAGAAATGACCATTCAGTAGAATCTCACTCCTGGTCACTCATGTGCCCACCGGGTCCACCCTACCTTGTCCTGCTTTGTTCCAGGGAGGTTGAGGGATGTCGACAGCCTGACCTGTATGTTTTGGCTAGTGGCTTCTGTCAAGGTTCGGCACTGCAGGAAATCTGAAGGGAAGGGAAAGAAAGCTCAGGCAGGCTATTTATTCTCTCTTGCACCTCCCTTCTGCTGCTCTCCCCTGTGTCTACGGCTCTTGTTGGTAATCCTCACAGCTTGTGCTCTCACTGGGCTGTAGTAGTGTCCCATCCTCCTCCTGCCCCTTCAGGAACGGGAATGCCCGTGCTTTCTCCAGTCTCTAGCAACCCAGGCTCTGATCAGCACCAAACACAGCTCCGTAAGTGTTCCTTTATCACACGATGGTCTGAGGTGGATTTCACAAACTGTGTAAAGTGGAAGAAATATTTAAGGGATCATCTGAGAGAGGAACATTCCTAATAGCAAGAAAAGAAATAGAAAGTCCTTACCAAGAGATGTATGTGGTATGTCTCAAAATGGAGATACTGGGGTACATTACGTACATAATGTATATTAATAGATTATGAAGGATAGTGTAAGAAATGGTGTGGGGAAGGTAGCTAAGGTAACCTTATATGAGATCTTAAAGCTGTGGACTTTGGTATGAGCCAAGGATGGAGAAGAGGGCTCTGAAACCTCCACAACTAAGACTCAGAATGTGGTGAGCAGAGATTTTGAGTGGTCACCTTTCCCACTTAACTTTAGGCAGGATCAAATTTATATTTGAAAGTGTTATTTTTAATGTTAATGACTTGTAAATAGTGAACCGTGTTCCTAAAAGTTTCCATATATTGATTATAATATTGAATGGGTATTTTCCTCTAGTGGAGAAACATTTCTCAACATGTATTTGTAGTCATATTTTGTCTTGTCATCATGACAAGTAGCAACCCTCCTGTGACATGCACTGACAGTCTCTTGTGAATAAAATCTTATGTCGTCACAAGTCATGATGTCCAACACTGTCATCATCCCGGAGTTTCCCCAATGGGTTCCTTTTCAAAGTCCTAGATCAGAATCGGGCTTAAGGTGTTACAAAATGTGGAAGGCAAATAAAGAGGGGTATAAAAGGAAAGAAGTGAGCTTATCCAAGGTTAACAAATCGGGTCAGGGCATAGAAAGGCGCCTGGGTAAGGTCTTGGTTAGTTTCTTCATAAAGCTGTTTCCCTGGGAGGATCCTCTTACCACCAGAGGGCGCCAGTCCTATTTTTCATGATCATAGCAGTTTGGCCATAGGCCACCATGGCCTGAAGACGTTTTGAAGGAAGAGAGTGGGAATGAATCATATTGCTTGTCTTATATTCTGCCTGCTATGCCTCTCACTAGTTGCGAAGACATACCGAGTGCTGGAGTACAGCCCAACATGCGCCCCTGCAGTCATCCAGAAGAAATAAATATTTAGTTGTAGGAATTTTCCAGGAAGAACATTGAGACTTTATAAGAGTTTCCACTTTAGTTATTAATAGGCATCAGGAGAATTTAAGGACAAAGATATTGGTAATTACAGTAATGACAGAAAACAAGAATTTGCACTAAAAAGAGGTCAATGTAAGTACACAATAGTAATGAATTATTACTGAAATAACCACGCCATGCATCCTGTGTGGGAAATCAGCAAATACAATTAGCATTGGATATTAAATAGGTAGAGAGTGATCTAATGGCAGAGGTAGCTAGAACAGGGAGGGCTGGGTCGGTGTCACAACTAGAATATCAGCATATATGGAAGCAGTCCCATCTGGAAGTCATCAGGAACAGGGGGAGGAGTGTGTGATGTGTCAGAAAGATTGATAATATTCTAGAGATGACAGTCAAGAACTTGGTGACGAAATCTGAAAATGGGCTTGCAGAAGAAGAAAAAAAGAAGTCACCGTGTGACGATCCCAATGCATGAGTAATGTTAGCTTATGTTCAAACTGACCTAGTCCATCCAGTCTCCCACAGTATTCATGTTACCGGTCTAACTATATGGCTCTTAACTCTGTATATGTATAAACATATATCCCCAGAATTGAGGTTTGGGATAAGTCAGAATCTTAAATCGGAAAAATCAGAGGCTATTAAACTACGCATTAAGGAGGAGTCACCATTCTGAGCTCATGGAGGAACTCAGTTTCGAGGGCACTGAGAACTTACTTGTAGTTGTCTGACATCTTCATTCTAGTATGGCAGGAATAGGCCTGGTTATTATTATTTCTTCTTCTCTTTCTACTTCTCTTTTACAGCTTGATAGCTATGTGCTTAGAATAGATTTTGGGACTGGACTGGGAAGACAGTTTGGTCAGTAAAATATTTGCTAAGATCTGAATTCACTACACAAAACCAATGTGAAAAAGTCCAGGCGTAATAGAAGTGCTTGTAATTCCATTGCTGGGGAGAAGGAGACAGCCAGGTCCCTGGGTGTTCACTGTCCTTCCAGCCTAGACTGTGTGCTGAATTTTAGGACAAAAAAAAACCCTGTGTCAAAACAGAAAAGTTGGATGGTACTGGAGGAATGACACAAGTTAATATGTTCTCTCTACTCAGGTACATAAAGGTGTATCCTCGGCCCACAACATCAGATGCATAGCAACTGCCAAATGAAAGTGTGATGTGTTGATTTTGAGATTATATCTGAAAAAAGGAGTTCTTCAAAGTGATTTAAATTTATAGGATATGCCTTAAGATCGTAATTCTTAAAGTGTGAAATCTTTATTCTAGTTATTGGGTGACACTATTTTGAGGAACTGCTAATATTTCTAGGTTGCCATTGTATAACAGTTAATAAAGTTCTGGGAATGAAATAAGTTGTTTATGAAGAATCACTGATTGTTTAGAGGGTGTGAAAGGGGAGGGGGAGCTGGAGAAGGGAAAGAAGGGGAACTGAGCTTGGTATGTAAAATTTTTTAAAAATTTAATTAAAAAGTCACTCGTGCTAAACATGGTGAATATGAGTGGTGAAAGGGCTAATTTGAGTACAAATGTTAAGATTAAGGAAATTTTAATTTGAAGACAAAATAGACTATTATAGATTTCTAAAGTATCCTGTTGAATGGAAAGGAGTAGTTGAGGGTAAGACAAAATTATTTTTGTCACCTCAAAAAAGGACAGTTACCTAGAATAAGGCATACATTATAAAAAGACAATAGCAGTCCTTGGATTCTCTTCTATGCCGAGTTCCAAGGAGACTACAGGGTATGCTAAGTATGTGAAAGTCCTTGGAATTATCGTTATTCAGACAGGACAGCAATTTTTGTGGAATTTCCCATAGTCCCTCCTCCACCCATCTGAGTAACTCAGACTGTCTTCAGTGCTGAGTCACAGGAGTGTTCCAGTGTCACAGCACTGAAAATGGCACCTTGTCCTCTAGCCATCCCCTCCAGCAGGGTGATGAACTTCCATAGCACTGACTTTAGCGTA